GTCCTGATAGTCATCAATTACCATACTCAATGACCAGAACAACTGGACTATTGTTCCCACAAAATGCCTTGGCTCTTTCCACATAGCTTTTCAGGCTGACTTGTTCCCCTGAGGAATAATAGTTAAGCAGCTATAAGCTTATATGTTGATTGTAGTCTGAGACCCACACTATACCTGCATTGTGACTTTCCCGTACAAATGACTCCTGACAATAGGTCTGTGGCTAAAACACCAAAGACCACTCCTGAAAATTCAGGGCTATTCTTCTCTCTTTTTTTCTAAGAAAATTTTTGAACTTCTTTTGGTTTGTGGCTTCATTTCTCAATGTTGTGAGCCATTAAACTTGGTGCATTTGACATCAAACAGGACAGGATTATATTTCTCTTATTTCAATTTAAATATGAAATGTCTGCTAAAGGCCATGTTCCAAAACCTGGATTTCAAGCTGCTTGTTTGCCTTGAGCTTAACATTTCCATGAGCTTTTAGAAGTCCTCAGTGTAGTGAACTGCAAATTTATTGGAGGAAGGAGGTCACTGTTGTGCTGTAGCACATTAGGTGCCCTTCCTAAAGCTGCGTTTGTCACTGCCTCCTGGATGCCACTACATGTCCTTCCTTCTTCTGCAGCATCATTCAATAATTCCCATTTTGCATAAGTCAGCTTTCACTCAGCTCTATAACTATTTTTTTAAATAGTCTTTCTGTTGCCTTGGTCGTTTTTCTTTTCTTTTCTTTTTTTTTTTTTTTTCATTTTAGGTTTTTGATTTAAAGGCATAGTCTCTCTTTAGAGTTCTGGCCAGCATTGCACTCACTATGTAGGTTAGCCTGTCTGTGAAAACATGGCCATTCTCCTGTTTCAGCCTCTTCATTGCTGGGGAACAGAGGTGGGCATTAATAACACATGGGATTTGTCTTATTTCTCCTCTCCTTTCACTATTATTCTTTCATTTCAGTGGCACTTTCATTTAATACTGGTGTTTGCTTGTGTCAGTAAAGGTTTCTGCAGCTTGAGTTGAGTTTGTGAACAACAATATAAGAAGGCAAGTAAACCAATTGAGAAATGTGGAATTTCATTAGCTGGTCTCAGGACCAGTTGTATACAAAACCCCCACCCCCATTTCAAGATCTAAACAAGAGGCTTTGAACTGGAAACTTACAGATATTTTAAAAGATAGAATCACAAAAAGACCCTGTTGGAAATCATTGAGCTAGAATCTTATAATTTTTGGATGACAATTGTATTCTGCTTCTTTTGTTGAGCAGGTTAATTTTTTTCTTTGGGTACAGCTCATTTTCTTTTCTCCTGGGACTTCTACCTTGAGTGATTTTCCATTTTTCTGGGTGAAAAATGGGCACTAGTTAAATGCACAGCTCAAGATGACATCTAGTATGCCAAGCTACAACACAGCTAAGTTACAAGCCTCGATATTTTCTAGGGTAAAAACACACATATCTGTAATCCCAGCACTCAAGGGCTGAGGCAGGAGTGCTGCTTTGAGGTTTGGGCAATTCTGCACTCCATAAGGGGTTCAAATTTAGCTAATATACATAGAGAAAAACTGTCTCAATAAAACAAAATTAAACTAAACAAATAAAATGAAACAAAACAGCTGAATGGAGAATGATTTCTCCAAACCTTAATTCCATATCTTGCAGATTAATTTTTTGAATATACACCTTTTTTGAGACAGCAAATTTGATGCTCTATTGCAACTCACAGCTAATGAAACAGCGAAATAGCAGCAATGATTCTTATGCTGAGTCACTGCAAGTGTCGCTATGCATTGTCTCTAATGTAGAGCTCATAGAGAGAGCCTGCAGGAACACCATCCCTAAATCACAGAGGCAGACAAATATCTCATCAATCACTCTGATGTACTACCAATGATAACTCTTCAAATCTCAATTAGGGCACTGAGTCTTTTGTTCTAAATATACTTAAGCAGCATTTTGATATTTGAATTTGTTTTCACAGAAGAAAACATAAATAACATCACATATTCCATAAATAGTAACTCAAATGTTCATGGAAAATTGCTGTATGTAAAAAACGTATAAACAATGAAACCAGGTGCAAGCTTCAAATTATAGCTCAGTGTCACCAAGTGATCACTTTCCATTCAGATATAAGAAATATATTTTGGGAGGCTGATGCAGGAGAACTTCCTTGACTTTGGGGCTAGCCTAAGTTACAGAGCTGTCTGAAATATAGAAACCCTGACTGAGACACCCCACAGACAATGTGAAACTTGAAAAGTGACTGCCTAACACACCTTTGGTTTTCTTTAAAAATTATATCCACACAATATAGAAAAATTCCACAATATTCAACATTTTATGAGGAACAAGGTAGATATCATCCATAATATACAGAAAACACTTTGAGAGCTGGGTATTTAGCTAGCAGCATGAAAACCTACCTTGGAAGCTTGAGATCATGAGTTCGATCCTTGGTAAAAAAAAAATTCAAATTTCACCTTCATGACACTGGGTCATAATTTAAGATAATCAAAACTAGATCTCAAGTGAAGAACACAGAATTCATGGGTTGACAGGGACGTGGAATATTGATTGTTACCAGAGCTGGTGTTATTCACCTCAAGGAAGATATCATAATTCAACTTTAACTTCATGCTTACCCGAAGAACTACCTGACTGTCAGTGAAGACCCTCTCTGTTGTATTTCCTGCTATTTGCACACTGTGTCCTGCTGGTCACTTCCACATCCTTTCCATGCTCATCTGATGCACCCTAAGCAGAAAACCCTTAATGCCTAAACTATTGATATCCCTACACAATTTCAATTTAGGGCATCTCTTTACATGAATTAGTAAAGCCCTTTACAGAGCATTTCCATATTTAAACAATGTATATGATCAACCAAGCTATTAAACCAGATCTTAATTCAGAGATGACACCATATTCCTTTCCATTCAGAAGGATATCACATGTATATGTTCATGCAAATGACTCATTTAGGCCTTTTCAGGGAGAATTGACAAGGCAGCCCATTCTGGAATTTGTTCTTAGCAAGCACACTTTACCTGCCCTTGATGACACTTTTATATGTGCTTCATTTTTCTCAAAATTCAAACCTCTATGGCTGTTCTCACAAACATAGTCTATGAGCACATGTGTCACATAAATTATGTTGAGAAATTCTTTGCACTGTTATTTATCATACACAGGAGTGCATCGGGTGGTTGGAAAGCCATCCTCCACTGAAGCACATCACTACACATCTCTGAATTCTCATAATCTTTGCCAACACCTGTCATGAGGTTGGAAATGCAAGAACATACCATAAATTTAGGCAATCCCTATAAATACAAAAAGTACAAGTTTAAGGAGTGCCGTTGTGGATATGAGGCACCGCATTACATACATTTATAAACTTTAGAACATCAAGATTGCTGATCCCTGTAATGAGAACAGAGACCAAGCTCAGTACTGCTGCTCCAGCTACAAAATGCATCAGAGTCAGGGGCTTCCCAAGCTCCTTCCTCTGCTCCCTATGGTGGAGGTGCCAGGGCAGTAGAAAATTTCAAAGATGATACTCCAGTCTGGTGCTATCATAGTTAATTCAAGGTTCTGAGGACACAAAATCATCCTTGCTCCCAGCAGGAGAAAAAAGGGAAAGTGGACAACCCAAGGCCAATGCTAGAAGACCTCAGGAGCTGGAGCTAACTAAATACCTGAATCTACAGACACCAGAACCACTTCTAACCACTTGTAACTGTTTTTTCACAATTCCACCCTATTTCTGGGCTCCCATCCAAAGCCCCACCATTCCATGGCTAGAGGGTCTCCCAGGTTCTTTGTTAATCAGGCCACAGAACATGGAAACCAGTAAATGAGATCCAGTATGTATTCTGCTCCTAGTTTTGTGTTCCAAGAAGGTAAACAATTTCTACACACCGGAAGAGACCCAAGAGACCTCCTCCCACCGCTCACCTGATTGGACATTTCATATAGCCCGCCTCTTCATCACTGATTGACTGCTGCTCTACTATCCTCTTTCTAAGTCAAAAATAAACAGGGAAAGGAACTCCTTCCTGCAAGAGAGGATCCCAAATGATAGACAGTAGTCAGAGACTTCTGAAGCTGGTTGTCTTCAACAGTGTTGATCTCAACTACACAGAGGATTATGTGTACAAAAGTGTCTTACCTCAGGCTTTTCATTTCCAAACCATTTTATTTCAAGTTTAAAAAGAAAAAATAAACTAGAACTAAATTTCAAAACATGTGAATCAGGGGGCAACACTGGTATATACATTGCACACTGTCATCCCCAGATCATTCACCCAGATCACCAGAACCTGTATTCAATTTTCCTAAAAATGCTGTTATGTGGAGCAGAGTTAGTTAATTATGATTAACAATGAGGAAGGGCTAGGTCCTTGGAGGAGTCCATCCAGAAACCCAGATACATTGCAACTATGGAGAAGATGGACAACTCCTGCTATGGGCTAAGCCTCAAGACAGAAGATCAACAAATTCTTCCATATCCTAAGGACAGGTATTCTAAATAGTTCCCTAGCACTCTGAGGAAGTCAGGAGTCACCATTCAAAGAAATGTATCCTTATCCTAAAGACTGACATTCTAAATAGTTCCTATCATCCTGATGAATGAAGGAGTTACCCTCCCAAACCCCTAAGGGAAAACTCACTGCTGACTAAGAATGCCTGCTTTCTATGTGACACCCTTTCCCCTTTGTTCCAATTTAATCAACTTTACCTGAACTATTTATCTTATTGGCTACCATAGCTCTGTCCCATCTTATGCCCATCTGCATTGTGAGTTCCCAGTTTTCCCCACCTTCAACCCATCTCACCACATGATTTTACTCTAAAAGTCTTTGGAAAAGGCAGTCTTTGCCAACCCAGATAGGACACATTTGCTTTCTCTCACACAGCTTTCTTTCTCCAAATATTATATTGTAAGACCGGTGTCGCAAGGAAGACTCCAAGGGCCTCGCTCTCATGTAAAAACAAAGGGGTTTTTATTATTCCATGTACACGGGGTCCTCCAAACAGGTGGAAACAGCGAACCCTGAGTTGGGGCAGGGCTGGTGTTTTTAAGGGGGAAAACTGCAATGTAAGCATTTATTACAGAAGCCAATCATTACAGTTAGTGCGGAGCAGTGGGCATCTTATCTATCTGCTATTGGTCAGTTCATAAGGGGTGACCAGCAGGTCAGAGTTAATTAACTGTCTTTGTTCTGCACAACTTGTCTTTAAGACACCTGGTTTCTGTAGACTTGGGTCTGACATATTTTACAACCCTGATTAGCATAATGGCAGGCTCTATCTCTGAGTTACCTGGCACAGCACATCCCCAGCATATCACAGCCACAGAGGTTGTTTTTATTTCTGCAGGGCTGAGTTAGGACTGAGTCACGAGACCCAGTGCTGTTTCTAGCTGAGAAACAGCATCTTATTTTTAACCTTTAAATTTCTGGTTCTACATTCCCCCTCTTCTGCATAAAACCTCTAATCTTTGAGGTCAATTAAAGCTAAGGGAGTATGTTATTGTCTAAGGACCATTATTTTCATCTGAGAGACTTGGGGGTTAATAAACTGAATTATGTGATTTATAAAGAAACCTGTAGAGCCATCAAACTTGTTGACCGAGTCTGGAAACTGTATTGTTGTTCGCCTAGCTCTGACAATCTCGGGAGTCCCCGGTGTTTTCTCAAATTACTCCCATCCTGCAGACCAACACCATCCCAGAGTGGCACTTCTGCAGCAAAATTTGGAGAAGAAAGTGGGGAAGTCAATCATCCCAGGACAGCTCGCCCTCATTAGTGAGTGTGAAGGGGTCACGAGCTATGAGACGCTGGAACTCAAACTTTACAAAGATCTGACATCTAACTCATTTGATACATACAGAACAAAAGGAAAGCACCATTTGGGGTTTGGGCCACAGTATTACCCGGTAATTTTTTTTGAAGCTAAACAGTTTTCAAACTTTGGGGCAGGCTTATTTTATGACAGATCATCACCAGGTTAGGGGGAGGTCACCAGAAACCCAAATTCTTTATGGCCTAGATAGATAGGTGAGGGGAGAGGGAGGCAATAAGATGCCATACAGAACAGAAAATGGCGGTTATGTGTCAAGGTCAGAGTAAAGGGCCAAACTCACATGCAAATCTCTCTGCACACAAGCAGGTTATTTTAAACAAATGTAAATTAATTGCCATTCTAGTTTTCTTTAACGGAGAATAGAGGCGCCTAGCAGTGATTAACAACCCTTGTTAGCTTGTTTTAGCACAGCTTCTGTAGTTTGTAGAGGGCAACAATGGTTAACATATCAATTAGGTGAGATTCTTGCAATTCTTTACAGAGGAGAGTGTTACTCAACATATCAATTAGGTCACTTAACATATCAGTTAGGGAAAAAGGATAAAAAACATTTAGTAAGTCACTTCACAGGTTCGTTATAATACACATATAACAAAGCTATTTTCTTAGAGTACAACATTTCCCATTGATTGACTCATTAGCATCTGTTTATAACCTTGCATGTGTCTTTAAAATCACAAGCTTTTAAGAACTTTGACATAGTTTATCAACTTGTTTACAACATAAGGCCCAATAGGAGGATTGACAAAGGTCTTGCAGCTTTCATTAAAGCTGTTAACCAAAAGAAGAAAGAAAACCAACATTTAAATTTGCTCTGTTTTATCATGCAAGTAACAATTTCTAAGTCAGACAAAGGCCTCCTTGGGGTCTCTACAAAGGAGGAGAACACAAAATTATCAGTTATATTAGACAATCTTAAGCTTTAAAGTGTCCTTGGAAGAAATGACAGTTCACTTATCCGCAGGCTGATGGTCTTTTGAAGTTGGGACCTGTCTGCAGTGGGAACATTGAATCCAGGCAGGCTTTCAGCTACTTTGACAGTCCATTGTGGCTTAAGAGATTCAGGGTGAGGTCGCTCTCAAGAGATTTCCAGTGAGGTCCCTTGTCCAGGTGCCTAGGCTCTTTAGCTCACAGTGGGCAGCAGCGAAGTAACCAGTGGATGGAAGTCACAGCTAGCTGAAAAGTCTAGAGGAGACTTAATAAGATGTTGATTAGTTAAATCAGCTAATTTCTAGAAACCTTCTCACATAAAACCTCAAAAGAGGAAATATCTGTAACATAGGGGATGCATCACGCACCCAAAGGGCAGAAGGAAAAGAGACTCACCCAGTTTTCGCCAGTTTTTAAGGCCATTAGTAATTATAGTCTTTAAAATCTGACTTATCTTTTTACCTCTCCTGAACTCTGAGGCTGGTAAGCCCAATCGAGTTTTTTAATTGATCTGTAAAGCTTAGGTTAATTTGAGTTACTAGGCTATATAAGCTAGGCCATTGTCGGACCCCATGGATAAAAAGGGAAACCAAATCAGGGAAACTGCTGTCAGAGCTGACTCAGACTAAGTAGAAAACACTTATATCCTTGAAGTTCAGGCTTTTTATTTTTGTAAAATCTATTTTCCAGTGTTTTTAGGCATAGTCCCACGATAACCAGTGGTTTTTATTTGTTGCAGTACTTTTAGACTTACCAATTGGCACTGAGGGCATCTGAAGCTCACAGACTGGGCTAACTTGATATTAGCCCCCGGGAATCTCACAGAAGTTGAGCTGCCAGATGCTGGTCTTTTTAAGTGCAAATGGGCTCTGACAAAGAAAATATGTGGGATCAGCAGTAATGTCAAGCTTTTCTCAATTCCCACTGATTTTGGGGCTTTCTGGCTGTCTTTTGGAAGGTGGCATTTGCCAAATTATTTTCTCCTATAACAAGATCATCTTCAGCCCAATGGCTTATACAGCAGATAGTAGCCACTCTCCTTGGCATCTAGATGGCAGCCAACATGTCCAAATTTGGGGAGCAATTTTAATCTTTTGACTCCAGACAATAAATGCCATATTTATAAAGACAACTTGAGGCCTCAGTGTGGGCAACGAGTTTAGCCCACTATGTTGCTGTCTCTGGCTCTAAGATTTGTTCCCATAGAACCTAAGATTTTGTGTAACGGCAGCTCCCACGACCCGCTTACCTTGAGAGACATAACTGCTTTCATCAGAGAAGTAGGATGGAACTCTAGACAGTAGCTTATCCACTAGATAAGGTTGATGTTCCATGAGGTGATCAGTGACCTCAGTACAATTGTGGTGAGGCGACGAGGGGTCGTCCTCAGGCAGCGAAGTAGCCGAGTTTGAAGCTGCTGTTTCCAGAAATAGTGCCTGATAATGTATGGCTCAGGAATTAGACATCCATCAGTCTGGTGGGGCCTTGATGAGAGGCTCCAGTGAATAGGAGGAAACAATTAGGTTTAGAATCTTATAAATAAATCTACCAAAACTGATCTAATACTGTCAAATTTTGAACACATTTACTTCTTGTCAAACCTGCTGTTTTCAGTACTATAACCAAGACAAATAAAATTTACATCATCTCGAACTTTCTATAACTTACAATATACCTCCAAGTTTTATCTTCTTTCATATTCTGGCACAGCCAGATATTTTTACCTGAAGACAAACCACTTTCTTTGTCCCTCCTTTTAACTATCACCATTCAATTACCTTTTCTCTCACTTCTCAGACAACATTGAAACTCACAACAAAACCCTTGAAGTCACCTTCTAGTAGTCTAAATCATATTTAATTATTTTATGTCTTTTTACCACATTAAAATGCTGGGTTTTTTTTTAACTATAACCTTTTAACTGGCTCTGTTACAGTATGACCTGGTTTTCACTTGGTAAAGTTGATATGATTCTTTAAAACCATAAATATACACATATATGTGCACATATGTTTACTTTTTAACCACAAAGAAAAATACTCCTTTTAAAAGGCATGCCAAGGTTGCAAGCAATCAGTTGAAGACTTACATATTAAACAAGGCACCACAACATTAAAGACACAAACAAAGGTTGTTTCTTGCACAGTTTGGTGAGCTAAAGGAAATAATTTTTCTTATTATGAACCTTGAATCTAATAAGCCATATGGATCCTGCAACAGAAATGGGCAACAAGCCCCTAAGTTAGTAATAAATTTAAACAGGCAACCAAGGAGGAAAATGGCCAGTACTGTAGGGAGGGCATTTTTCCCTCAGCTGTACCATCACTAATTATGTCCTTCTTAACCTGGAGAGAAAGATTGTGAGCTCGCTCTCAAACCTCGGGCCAATGGTCTAAGGTAAGGGAGAGAGGAGATGAAGTTATCTGTCCCATCTTATCTTGGAGAAAAAGAGAATGAAAACAACGAACAGGGAAGACGCAGACAAACACAAAAAGTTTACCTTTCGGAACACAATTTATAAGCCGGCGTCACGCACACACATACCAAACCACCAGGTGTATACGAACTGGTGGAGTATTCCACCGCGAACGTAGCTGTGTAATGGCTACAATTAACGGCAGGAGCGACCTGCCCAACTCAGCAGGAGCGACCTGCCTATGCGAACCGGTGAGCCACCAATGAACGTTCCTCAGGGGAACCTTGGGGCATCCCCCAAGAGAAACAAACTGCCTTTGAAATCAGAACCAAAGAAAATGAACGGTTCAGGGCAGTAAAAGAAAGGGGAGAAAATAAGTGATCAATCAAAATGAAAGTAAACAAAAACTGGCCGTACTACTTACCCCGGAAAGGTGAGGTTGGGGTCTCCCTTTGCGAGGAGGTCTGATCTTAGTTTGATCTCGCTAGGGCCTCCAAATATAAGACCGGTGTCACAAGGGAGATGCCAAGGGCCTCACTCTCATGTAAGAACAAAGGGGTCTTTATTATTCTGTGCACACGGGGTCCTCCAAACAGGTGGAAATGGAGAACTCTGAGTTGGGGCAGGGCTGGTGTTTTTAAGGGGGAAAAACTGCAATGTAAGCATTTATTACAGAAGCCAATCATTATAGTTAGTGTGGAGTGGTGGGCATCTTATCTATCTGCTATTGGTCAGTTCATAAGGGGTGACCAGCAGGTCAGAGTTAATTAACTGTCTTTGTTCTGCACAACTTATCTTTAAGACACCTGGTTTCTGTAGGCTCGAGTCTGACATATTTTACAACCCTGATTAGTGTAATGGCAGGCTCTATCTCTGAGTTCCCTGGCACAGCACAGCCCGAGCATATCACAGCTGCAGATATTTTCTTTGATCTTCCTGCAGGGCTGAGTTAGGACTGAGTCATGAGGCCCAGTGCTGTTTCTAGCTGAGAAACAGCATCTTGTTTTTAACCTTTAAATTTGTGTTTCTTCAAATCAACTTGGTGCATTTCACCCCAACCAGGGCAGGATTATATTTGTCCTATTTCAATTTGAATATGAAATATCTGCTAAAGGTCATGTTCCAAGACTTTTGTGTGAACCTACTTCTTCACTCTGAGTTTAAGATTTCCATGAGCTTTGGACCTCTTCATTCTAGCAAATTTCATATTCATTGGTGGAAGGATGTCACTGTTGTGCTGTAGCACTATAGGCACCATTTCTAGCTCTGTATTTGTCACTGCTGCACAGATGCCACTACATGGCCAGCTTTCCTCAGCAACATCATTACATAATTGCCAATTCAGGTCAGCTTTCACTCAGCTCTATTGTTTTGTTTTCCTTTAATAGTCTCTCTCCCTTGGTTTTCTACATTTTTCATTATTATTTTTTGTTTTTAAAGATGTAGTCTTACTTTGTAGTTCTGGCTGGCCTTTCACTCTCACTGTGTAGGTTAGATTGTCCTTGAATACATGGCAATTCTCCTGTTTCAGCCTCTTTATTGCTGTGGAAAAGAGGTGGGCATCATAACACGTGATGTTTATCATTTTCTCCCCTACTTTTCACTATTATTCTTTTATTTCAGGGACACTGACATTTAATCCAGATGTTTGCTTGTGTCAGTAAATCTTTCTGCATCTTGAGGTGAGTTTGTGACCAACAGTATAGAAATTCAAGCATCCAAAGGATAAATTTCGAATTTAAATAGCTGAGATCAGAACCACTTGTATACAGACCCCCCTCCCCATTTCAGAATCAAAACAAGTGTCACTGAACTGGAATGTTTAAAAGAGAGAATCAGAAAAGACATCCTGTTTGGAAACAATTTAGCTAGAATCTTAAATGAATTTTTGTTTTTACACCTGTATCCTGCTTCCTTTTTTAGCAGGTTACTTTCTTTCTTTGAGTACAGCTCCTTTTGCTTTTCTCGTGGGACTTATACCCTGAGTGCTTTTTAATTTTCCTGGGTCAAATACAGGGCACTAGATAAATGCAGGGTGCAAGACGGTATCTGTTATGCCAAGCTACAATACAGCTGAGCTACAGTGCCAAGCCTTAATATTTTCTAGAGTAAAAAGCACATAATGTTTGAATATTTCATAATTTGTGATGTTCATCCTTATAATAAAATGTGATCTATAGTCAGGACATGCTAAGCTCACCAGGTCTCTCATTGCTTTCCACTGGTCTTTTCCTCATCATCCTTAAATACAGGACTCTCTCAGTTCTTAATACTAATGCTCACATTTGATTCATATTCCTACCTGTGACATCTCCTGTTTCTGCAGTAGTCTAGACTGGCATCCCCAGCCCATAAGAGATAGAAATTCATCTTGTGATTCCCTACACTCCAATGAGGTTATGTGTTAAATTGGACATTTTTCCTTTAAGAGAATGGCAGTTAATGAATACATGTGTATCTCATGACTGTTTATTGTGTTTCAAATAACAGCATTAATTCTTTCAAGCATTAGGTGCACACCTATAATCCCAGGACTTACGAGGCTGAGTAGGACAATCAGTTTGAATTTACAGGACTAAGAAGTGAGTCCACAGTCAGCCTGAACTGCATAGGGAAATCCTGTCTCAAACAAAGAGAAAAAATGTATCATATTATTGTGGATATCCTTGGGAAGAAGAACTCAACAGTTTGAAACTCTGAGGATCTTACACTTTCGGTTTCATCTGGTGAGTATAAGATACCAGTAAAACTACCTTCAAGAATATGGAGAAAACTCAAAAAATCTTATTGCAAACTGTCATATAGATGTAATGCATTGCGCAACAAAGTACCTTTAGCATAGCTCACAAATGTAGAGAAAACATTTCTAAAATTCATTTGGAAACAGAAATGCTCTAGATCACCAAAGACATTGCTGGGCAACAAAGGCAATTCAAGAAGCATCACAATTCCTGACTTGCTATAATACTAGAAAGCTATTATCAGAAAATCAGCATTGTCCTGGCAGAAAATCAGACCTGAGAATCATCCAAAAAGTCTAGAAAATGCAAATAGAACTACAAAGAGAATCTGCTACCTTGTCTTTGACAAAGGAGCCAAATATGTTCAGTGGAAGAGAGAAGGCCTCTTCAATAAATGGTGCTGAAGAAAATGACTTTCCTCATACTGAAGACTTAAATTGGAGAAATGTCGATCACTATGAAATAAATATGTGAAATTAGATCAAAGACCTAAATATTAAAACAGAAACACTAATGAGGCTTTGTGAACAAAATACACATTTTAAAGAATCAACCACTGGGACCCCATTTTATTAAAAAATATTTGTACATCAAAAGAAATCACTAACAGAATGAAAAGACAATGCTCAGAATGGGCAGAGGATATTTTTCTATTTTCTGATAATCTCTTCAATATCATTTTCAAAGTACTATAATTTTAAATATGTAAATCCTGGACTTTCTTTGTTAGGATCTTTCCAACTATTTCATTTACTTGGAGGCTATTTAAAATGGTGTGGTTTCTGTAACTTCTCTCTTGGTGAGTTTGTTGATTGTGTACAGGAATTCTATTGATTTTTGAATGTCAACTTTGTCTCCAGCTACATTATTGAATTTGGTTATTAATTCTAGGACTGTTTTGGTGGAGTTTTCAGCATCTTCTATTTAGAATATCATATCATTTGTGAATAATGATAGTTTAACTATTTTCTATTATACACTTATTCTTATTTCTCTCTTTTGTCTAATTGTTCTGTCTAGTGTTTCTAGAGCTATATTGAACAAGATTGGTCATAGTAGTCATCCGTGTCCTTTTAGTAACTGTAGAATGAAAGATTTTAGTTATTCTCCATTTAGTATGATGCTGGATTTTCTTTGTCATTGTCTGATTTTTTTTGTCTTTTTCTTTTTTATCGGTACTGGTAATTGTACTCACCACCACACAATTGCCAGGCAGGTGCTTATGCCATTGAGCTAAATCTCCAGCCCCGTCATTATTTTATTTTATCAGCTTCAGGTAAAGGTCATCTGTTGTTATTTACTCTAGTGTTTTTATCACAAATCAGTGCTTGACTTTATCAAAAGCTTATTGTGCTTTTATTGAGATGATCACCACGTGACTTTTGTTTTTGTCTGTGTTGATATGACATTTAAATTTGTTGATTTCATGTACTGAAACATTCCTGCCTTCCTGGGCTGAATCCAAGTTGGTTAGGTTTTAAAGTCTTCTTGATGATTTGCTACATTCACTTTGCTAGTATCTTGTTAAGGATTTTTGCATCTATGTTCATTAGGAAAACTGTCCTATAGTTTTCTTCTTTTGGTTGGGTCTTCCTCTGGTGTTAGTATCAGGGTAATACTTGCCTCATGGAATGATTTAGGGAGAAGAGCTTCTCTTTTAATGTCATTAAACAGCAGTGTCCTTAAATTTTTTTCTACATTTATTGTAGAATCCAGCAGTAAATCTACCAGGACCTAGGCTTTTTTATGTTGGTCATTTGCTTTTCTGTTTTCATTGTTTTTCTTATTTTTTTAATGTGCTCATGACACAGGCTCTCATTATTCAGTTCAAGTTGGCCTTGAGCTCACTTTGTAGCCTTGTTTAGTCTCGAACTCAAAACAATCCTTGTACCTCAGCCTCCCAAGTTCTGGGATTACAGGAGTGCACCACCATGCCCAGCAGCTGATAAATTTTTATTAGATCTTTATTCTCATTAACGATACTGTATTTTCCAGAATTTTTATATCTTCTTTGATCAGATTTGGCATTTCATATGTATTTAGGAATCGGTGCATTTCTGTATTTTCTAACCTATGAAAGTATAAGCTATTCAAGTAGATATTGATGATATTCTGAATTTTACAGGATCTGTAGTTATTTTATTCTTCTGATTCCTTAATGCATGGTTTTCAGTATTTATTTTTTTCTTTTTTGATATGGTTGTCCAAGGGTTTATCAATTTTGTTTATTCTTCCAGTGAACCAACTCTTTGATTCATTAATTCTTTGAATTTTTTTCTTGTTCTCCATTGCATGAATTTCTTGTCAGGTCTTATAATTTCCTCCCTTGTATGGGATTTGTGTTTCCCTTGCCATTCTTCTTCTGGAAGATTGAGATGCAACATTTCATTATTTGTTTGGGTTCTTTCTATTTCCTGATGTGAGATTTGACTACTATAAATTTCTCTATTTGGACTGCTTTCATTGAATCCCGTAAGGTACAAGATTTTGCATCTATATTCTTCTTAGGTTGTAGGTATTTTAAAGATTCTTCCTTTATTTCATCTGTTACCCATTGGTTGTTTAGGAGAGTGTTAAGTTCCACATACTTATGAAGTTATTGCAACTTCTTTTATCATTATTTCACAATTTAAATACATGCTTAAGAATACTAGCCTTAGGCTGCAAAGTCAATCAAGTAATACAAGGATTAAGTTATTTTTATACCTCCATTGCTATCAACTCAGCATGTCCTCTAAACCACTCAGATGGTTGGTGGTGGGAGGAGGTGATTGTGGTGCTCCTCTCCCAACCAATACAGTGGTGAGCTTACAGGAAGTGTAAGTTACACTCTTGCTTTTCTTCTGAGAAATGGAATAGCTTCCAAAGAACCACAACATGGGCAAGTTTTCTCTACCACTCCCCTATGACTTCCATCAGCTCATAGGAATGGTAAATTAGCTTTCTATTTCTCCTCTCAGCCCTGGGATGGCTCTGGATTGTTAATTTTCTCATCAGGAAGACTGGGTGGAGACATGTCATAAAACCTGCATATTTATGTGTGTGTCCTACAGAAAATAATTCATATGTAGGTCATTGATTGGAGTGGGAATGTCTTGAGGAAAATTGTGTCATGTAAGAGGATTTGGCATTGGGGAACCAAAAAAAATACAGTGGAAAAGAACAGCTTCTGTATACTTG